TGTTGAAGTGACTCGTCAGGTGTCAGTAGACCGTACAAGCTGTGACTCGTCAGGTGTTGAAGGGACTCTTCAGGTGTTGAAGTGACTCGTCAGGTGTTGAAGGGACTCGTCAGGGATTTACGAGCTGTGACTCGTCAGATGTTGAAGGGACTCGTCAGGTGGTGAAGTGATTCGGCAGGTGTTGGAGTGACTCGGCAGGGGTTGACGTGACTCACCAGGTGTTGAAGTGACTCCTCAGATGTGGAAGGGACTCGTCAGGTGTTGAGGTGACTCGTCGGCTGTTTAAGTGACTCATCAGATGGGGAAGTAACTCGTCAGGGATTTACGAGGTGGGCCTCGTCAGATGGTGAAGGGACTAGTCAGGTGTTGAAGTGACTCGTCAGATGTGGAAGGGACTCCTCAGGGATTTACGACCTGTGACTCGTCAGATGTTGAAGGGACTCCTCTGGTGTTGTAGTCACTCGTCAGGTGTTGAAGTGACTCGTCAGGTGTTGAAGGGACTCGTCAGGTTGTCAGGGATCTACGAGATGTGACTCGTCAGGTGTTGAAGGGACTCGTCAGGTGTTGAAGGGACTCGTCAGATGTTGAAGGGACTCGTCAGGTGTTGAAGGGACTCGTCAGGTGTTGAAGTGACTCGTCAGGTTGTCAGGGATCTACGAGCTGTGACTCGTCAGGTGTTGAAGGGACTCGTCAGGTGTTGAAGTGACTCATCAGGTTGTCAGGGATCTACGAGCTGTGACTCGTCAGGTGTTGAAGGGACTCGTCAGGTGTAGAAGGGACTCGTCAGATGTTGAAGGGACTCGTCAGGTGTTGAAGGGACTCGCCAGGTGTTGAAGGGACTCGTCAGGTGTTGAAGGGACTCGTCAGGTGTTGAAGTGACTCGTCAGGGATCTACGAGCTGTGACTAACAACGTGGTTCATGAACAGCGGTCGCAGATAGCGGGCGTTGAGATGAACGTTGACCCGAGCAGTGAGTGCCGCTGGTGTCGGGGGGGGGGGCGAGGAGGAGGTGCAGGACCACAGCGGCGCACGTGAAGGTTCTCAAAGAGCTGAATTATGATTCCGGGTTCACACAGGGAACAGAGGTCTTTGATCCCGATGTCTACTTACTGACAGTGGAGACGGCCGCGGAGCGCTGGAGCTCCAGGCCGGAGGGCAGTTGGCCTGTCCTGGGGCGGGGGGCGGGGCTTGGCCCAGTGCGGGGGCTAGTGCTAAGGAGGCAGCAGGCCCGACGCCAGGGGCCTGATTTGGGCCTGGACAAGGCTGGGAGCCCTGTGACGTGTGGGTGTGGAGGGGAAGACAACCAGGAGGAATAGCAAGGGCCCGAAGGGAGGAGCGAAGAATCGTGGGAGAAAGAGGAGGTGAGGAAGGGTCCGAGGTGCCAGTAGAAAGACGTACGTAAAGGAGATACAGAGTCAGATTAAAGCACCTAAAAGGGGATGGAAAGTATTTTAACTACCAGCAGATTAAATATTTGGATTAGTTCCGTCTAAACTATAAAGACACAACAAGGTGCAGCACCAGCTAAGACGACTAGAGATGTAAAGTAAATCTAGAACTTCTTCTTATCTGCGTGTTTTTTCTCACCTGTGTGAAAATAAGGGTCTCTGAGTTGCGGCTGTCCAGACTGAGGACGAAGCGGATCGATTGAAAAAGTTCCTGGACGCTGGTGCGAAACTGCTCCTCTTCCATTCCGCAAGTGGCCCGAGAGTAAAGGATCCGAGACTGGATGATGAACTTAAACAGATACTCCAAGGCCTGAGGTTGTGTGAGAATACAGAAACAATACAAACATTTCATGAATAAACCACACGTTCTCTCCACCGATCTTCATCATTTCATCCACGAGGACGTTACAAACGTCTCAGATGTTCATCCGTCACAGAAAAGAGTTTTTGATTTGATCGAACCAAAGAGAAGAGAACTATTGTTTTTATTGTATCCAATAAAACCACCAACATATTTTAATAGTAGATTCATTTTATTTTAAAAAGAAAGAAATAAGAAGAAATAAATAATTACCCGTGAGTTAATGAAATGGTGGAATATATTTAAGCATTTTAGTGACGCTAACAGACATTTGATACTAGTACAGTACTTCAGTACTTCACATATTAAATCGAAGCTGAGTAGAGAAGGAAGGACGGAGACGGACACAGAACCTCTCGGGTCGATTCTTCACGTTACATAAAGCGTAAGTTGAAGGCTTTGCAACAATCGGTTACAATGTACCATGTTTTTTGTGGTGAGTTCATTCTTGAGTTACGGACAAAGTGACAGTGACTCATAATCAGCTCGTCCTTACGGGCCCCTAAACCGTGGAACCTTCCCTGCGAGTTGAGACAGACGAACTCAGCGTCCTCTTTCACTTCACTTTTACCAGCTGGCTTATTTATATATTTAATGGATTTGATCTTATTTATTCTAAACTGCTTGATGGTATTTTGTAAAACTTGTGCGTATTGTTGAGCACTTTGTAACTTTGTTTTGAAAGGTGCTACATAAATGATTGAAGTTTAATTAAGTTAAATGATATACTTCCTATAGTTATATATAAATTATAACTAATCCCCTCAGCCGCTGATATATAACAATATAACAATCAATGAATATTCAGCAGCGTGGAGACGCGAAGCAAAAACCCACAGCGACCGAATGTGTTTCTATCGTCAGTGATTCACGGCGTCGTTTTCTAAATGAGGTCGAGGACATCAGGCTGATTTATACACAAAGTATTGTGACAACATGTGACAACATGCGGTGACCAGCGTGAAGCCAGAAGAACTGCTGGTGGACTCACGTACCCTCATGGCTTCCTGTATGTGGTCCTGTCGGACCACCTCTGCAGAGCGGTCCATGTACCACTTGAGACAACGGATCAGCTCCCTGGAACCACCGCGGGAAATATCACACGTATCACAGTTTAATGTTTGTCATAAAGTAAAAGTTTAAATAACGTGCACACACACTTTAACTTTTCACAAATGGATTAACATTTATGAGCATATAAACCACAAGTCAAAAAAACTTTGTTAGTATAGATCAAATATAAAACTATTTCCTGGTAATTTTATACAATAAGAGCTTTGACATCAGGGATGATTGTGAATGACACACACACACACACACACACACTGTGTACAGTGAGGCGGCGTGTTGGGAAACACTCACTTGTAAGCCAGAGCGCCTGCGAAGTGCTTCTGGATGTACGTGTCCATCACCGGCCTGAAGTGGTAATATTTACTGTCCCTGAGGAGGTTTATGATAAACACCTGAGAGAGAAAGGAACATTAAACCGCTTCATATTCAACATTAATAATATAGATAATAATATAACACTACAATATAACGACCTTCTGATCACTAGATGTTAACTAGCAATCATTCATCAGATTAGCACTTATCATAATGACACCACGTCGTCTGCCGTCCGTACGTCACTGTGCCGACTGACCAGCTGACCAGCTGACCGACCAGCTGACCGACCAGCTGACTGACCAGCTGACTGACCAGCTAACTGACCAGCTGACTGACAAGCTGACTGACCAGCTGACTGACCAGCTAACTGACCAGCTGACTGACCAGCTGACCGACCAGCTGACTGACCAGCTGACTGACCAGCTAACTGACCAGCTGACTGACAAGCTGACTGACCAGCTAACTGACCAGCTGACCAGCTGACCGACCAGCTGACTGACCAGCTGACTGACCAGCTAACTGACCAGCTGACTGACCAGCTGACTGACCAGCTGACTGACCAGCTAACTGACCAGCTGACCGACCAGCTGACTGACCAGCTGACTGACCAGCTGACCGACCAGCTGACTGACCAGCTAACTGACCAGCTAACTGACCAGCTAACTGAAGCGGTCGACCGGACTTCAACCCGCAGCTGCTTCTGGTGGACTCACCAAGGACTGGAACACCAGCGGTCCATATTTGTCCGTGTTGTCGTCCAGGATGGAGAACAAAGTGTCCAGAATGTCTTGGAGAAACTGTCACAAACACAAGCAGCGAGTTCAAGTCACCGAATCGAGTTATTCCAGAGTTTATGCAGCAACGTCTTAAGAAGCAACGACGTGATTCTTCAACAGGTTCAAACCCTCTGAGGGATTTTTGTCACAGAAAGTTTGTTTTAAAGGCAAAAAAAATCCTTAAAAGAGAGAAGCTCACCTTGACTATCTCCTCTCCGCTGACATGTCTCAGCCTGCCGAGGATGTCCATGACCCGCTCTGGATGGGCCTTCCACTTCAGCAAGGCCAGCAGGTCCACTGGAGGAAAAGCGCCACGTTAGCAAAGACACAAACCAGTGTGATGTGACACTGAGAAGCAGCGCTCAGGCCTCTTATGGACCCTTATCCACACCCTGAGGTCATGGGAGAGCGTTACTTGCTTCTTCTCATCCCAGTGACAGCACATATACGGTGTGGTTAAACACACTGGGAGAGATCACTAGATGTATGGGACGGTCTCCGGTCAGCTGTGTACCGTTCTGAGTGAGCTTGGTGGAGGAGAGCTGCGTGGAGATCCAGAAGTTCTCCTTGGTGCTGCGCTGGAAGATGAGGCTGGAGGGGATGCTGGGGCAGCTGTTGAAGTCCTCCTTGCAGCAGGGCAGACCCAGGTAGAGGGCGTGGTTACTGAAGGTGGTGTTCTCATCGCACTGAGGACCAACAATGGAACATGTTACTGTACGAGATGTTCTGCAGAGAAAGGCCCTGCGTGGACACCGTTGGTGCGGCGTTGACTTCTGACCTTGTAAACGTAGAGATCATGGCTCTCGTCGGAGAGCGTGGTTCCATCCTCCCTCATCAGAGGAGTGAAGGGAGAAACCGAACAGCTTCTTCTCTCCTTTGTCCTTCGCTGTGGACACGATGAAGAGAGAGACGTCCCGCTGTGTCATTTAAATGAGAACTTTTCTAGGTACCCAAAGACGCTTCAGCACCACGGACAAGAACAAAACCAGACTGAGTCACGTAGGATGAATAAACAGAATCAGCGCGCGGCCTCCTGGACCTCTGCGGCGTGCACGTGAGGACGACTCACTGGAGCAGTGGCGGAACTCGAAGCGCAGGTGTGACCCTCTGAAGCGGTCGATGGGGATCGGCAGCTTGATGACCTCGCTCCAGCGGGGGCTGTTGTTGTGGTAGAGCACGAAGGAGCGGTGCTCCGGCACCTGAGGCTCGCCCGAACCCAGACTGATGCAGTCCTGCAGAGGGCGAGGGGGGCAGGAGAAGGTCACTGCTGCTCCTCCCAATGAACATTGTGTAGAAACACGAGCATTGGAAGGATCCCATTGGCTGTTTGTGACGTCCTGTGACCGGTCCCCATTGAGGGCCGGTGGACGGGCCCCTGAATGATAGGGGGGTCCCTACCTTGAGGATCTCTCCGTCGGCGTACAGGACGTAGACGGTGACTTCGATGTTCTTCTGGACGCTCTTCCCTCCTCTCTCGAAGTCGCCGCGCTCCAGCGTCAGGTACAGGTCGTTACGGACGTCACCTGGACGAAAGCTGGCGTTACACGAGAGACCCCGTCTTTCTCTGAGCAAACTCCCTCCACCAAAACCAATAAATATATTCATCAATCACCGTTCTGATGATGGCGTTTTCCTGGAACTAGTCGCTCACATTAAGATGTTAATGATTATTATAATCTGCTCAGTGTTCATGAAGCTTAGAATCAAAATCTAGGATTCATCTGTAATATACGAGTGTGAAAACGCCTCCTTTAAACGGAGCCTTTTACAAGATTAAATGTGGAGCCTGAACGCATCATAACGTAACAAGCTGCGAGGTGCAATGTGAGCGGTGTGATGACCAACATGCTGGATTGAGTTCATCGTCATTTATAAGCTAAATAAGTGTTAAACTATGGAGGACATGCAGAGACGTCTCCACGGTAACCAGGACCCACCTGGCATGATGACGTCAGGGAAGCCCAGCTTACGCGTCACGGACACGCCTCTGCTGAAGATGAGAGGATTCTCTCTGCGGACCTGATCCACGTCGCCTCTCAGCAACTGAAGGGAGATGATGAGACCTGGGAGGGGGGGGGGGGGGGTTGTTGTTGTTGTTGAGCTGTTTATGTTTAGTGTTGTTTCAGGAGGCCTTGATGGAGCGACGCTCAGACCTCCGTGTGAGTCAGTGACATCATCGGCAGAGGCCCCTCCTACCGTAGCTGGTGCTCGGCACCGTGTACTTGGTGCTGGACTTGCGGATGATGTTCTCGTGGATCTGGTACCACTCGTTCTCGTTGTTGCACCTGGAGAAACAAAGCAGAGAAAAGTCTCTCAGAGAGACGCAGCCGAGAGCAGGCGAGACTCGGGACAAGCATGGGACCCCGGTCTGTCTCTGGTCCACATGTCTGCATCCGCACTGTGTGTGTGTGTGTGTGCAGGTGGGTGCACATACGTGTACACCTTCAGAACAAAGTCCTTCTCCTCCTTGAGCTCGGCGATGGTCTGCAGCACGTCGCTCATGGCGAGGACCGCGCAGCCGTAGGGCCGCCGGTACTGGACGAGGGGGGGGCCCTTCTCACTGTCATTGAGCAGCATGCGGCCTGGTGTGTGTGTGTGTGTGTGTGTGTGTGTGTGTGTGTGTGTGTGTGTGTGTGTGTGTGTGTGTGTGTGAGAGAGAGGAAAGACACAACATGCAGTCAGCAGTAAAACATCAAACTTTACTGCCAGAGGAAGCAAACACACGAGGAGAGAAGCAGCTGAAGGTAAGACATTATATATATACACATGTATATATATATATATATATATATATACACACATGTGTAGTGTACATATGTTGATGTCACTCTGGTCTCACCCGTTCTGATGACGTGAGACACGATGTAGAGATCTCTCTTCATGTCTTTGTTACTCAGGTCCTGCAGTCAGAGAGGAAGAGGGTTTTAAGGTTGACCCTTCAAACGGGAGGCGGCGTTGTGTGTGTGTGTGTGTGTGTGTGTGTGTGTGTGTGTTACCGTGAACAGCGCACACAGCCTCTCCACCTTCTCCGGGTTCCTCGGGGCTCCGTTCTTGTTCAGCCGCACTAAAAACCTCTCACTGAAAGACACAAAGACGCCGACTCGTTTCATTCTAGCGGTGACCTTTGACCTCACGGCTGGAACATCTCCCCCCGACACACTCACAGGTCATCGATGGACTCACACAAACACGCGCGCACACCGGTGTCGTGGCGGGTACCTGATGGTCTTTGCTTCTCGCAGGTCGTACAGGGAGAAGAAGATGTCGGTGTCCTCGCCGATGCTGTTGTAGGTGAAGCTCTTCAGGTTGACCAGCAGGTGATGAGGAACCGGGACCCTGCAGGGGTCTCCGTGCCGCTGCCGCGTCCCGTCCCCCTGAAGACACACCACGCGTGTTAATACATGGATACACAGGAGTAGTATTAATGGTGGAGCAAAGTAAAAGTACACTCTTAAAGAGATACTTGCTAGTACAGAACTTGTAAACTAAAGTATTTCTTGTTATGTTGTTGGTATTTCAGAAGCTCAAATGACATAATTTTAGTAAATGTAACAGCAGTATATTTCATGTATATGTGGTACTTCACCTGTGTGGTACTTTGTTGAACACTGTGTCTGCTGGACAGATGCTGAGGAGGAGAAAACACAATCAGGTGATCCTCGTCCTCTCTCCTCGTCTCCTCATCTTCTCTCCTCGTCTCCTCATCTTCTCTCCTTGCGTCCTCTCACTTCCTCTCCTCATCCTCTCGTCTCCTCTCACTTCCTCTCTTCATCTTCTCTCCTCGTCTCCTCATCTTCTCTCATCTTCTCTCCTCGTCTCCTCATCTTCTCTCATCTTCTCTCCTCGTCTCCTCGCACTTCCTCTCCTCATCCTCTCGTCTCCTCTCACTTCCTCTCCTCATCTTCCCTCCTTGCGTCGTCTCAGTTTCTCTCCTCCTCGTCTCCTTATTTCTGATATATTTTCATCGTCTCATCTCATCACCTCCCTTTCTTTCCTATCCTTGTTTCCTCTCCTTGTTTTCCTTGTTTCATCTCCTGCCCTCTGTTCCTCTTCTTGTCTCCTATCAGTGTTTTATAGTCTCACCTCCTCCAAATATGTTTTAAACAACCATCTTACCATCTTATAAAGATCTGACACGCTGATGTGGTCTTCATCCACCATGTCGAACTCCTTCCTGGGAACCAAGTCCAGACCCAGATGTCTGAGGGGGGAAGAGAGAAGGTCTTTTATTGAACCTCCACACACACTCTGTTCTGCATTGTGAAGGGATGTGTGTTTCCTCCTGTAGTTCTAACCTTTGACCTCGAGGCTGTGACCTCGGTATTAACAGAATATTTTCATTCAAACTGTAGATGAGAAACGAAATGTTTCCTCAGGCCGCTGAGTTCTGCTTCATCCTTTATGTTTTAATATTTAACTCGACGTGTTCTCTCCATGATGAGAAGCTCCTCATAATAATATATTATAATAAGTTATTGATCAGGCACATCAGCTCTCCTGAGCTTCACAATCACAGTCCAGCTTCCATCTCTCAGATCAATGACAGTTTCTGTCTTTTCATTGGTTCCCTGTTTCAGCTTCACTCAGAAAAGCTTCATCCTGAAAGGCTTCAATGTAGTGTAACGTGTGTGTGTGAGTGTGTGCGTCTCACTCGTTGCCCCAGTCCAGGCGCACCGTGACGTGTCTCTTGACGTCCCGGCTCTGGTCCTGCGTCAGGTGACCTGAGAGGAGCTGCCTCCTCAGGTCGATCAGCTCCATCATCACGTGGCGCACCTTGTAGAACAGATCCACCTTGTGTTTCTGACGGAGGCGGAGTCAGAGGCGGAGTCAGAGGCGGAGATAACACACATTCACAGTAACACACACAGTAACGTACACACACACTAACGCACGGTGTCCTCAGACACAGCGTCAGTGTGTTACATGTGGCTACACTGTAACCACGTGTGATATAGTTCTTATCGTTAAGTAAAAGTCACATGTCTTATCATGAATTATTACATGACGTCATCAATTGAAAGCGTTTTAAAAGTGTCCTCTTCAGTGTCTCCTTCCACCTCCCGTGTGAAGAAACAATATGTCTTTTTCCTTTTATCTGACTGCCTGCACCACTTTATGCCCCCAGCGACACTATTTCAAATGCTTCTTGAGCGGTTGCTTGGCAACAGCAAGAGTAACGCACAGCAGCACTCGTCTGATACACGAGGACGAAGATTCACTTTAACTGCTTCTTTCTTCCTTTTATCTAATTAGGGTGAAAAACCGGAGAAGAGTCAGAGAAGTGTGACGATTTGATGTCGTCATGTCATATTGAACAACACAACAACAACGCTCTTAAACGTGTTAAAGCTGCATTCTCTCTCCCTGACCACCAGGGGGCGACTCCTCTGTTCCTACAGAAGTCCACGAGGAAACGCCTTTAGGGACGGATTTCCTCCCTCAGTGACGTTATGGTCCTGGACCTCGGTGACCTGAGGTCACCTCAGGGGAGGAAGCTGGTGGTGGAGATCTGCAGGGAGGCGGGGCTACAAGGTGTCTGATTTATGGAAGTGGGTTAAACTCAAACTTTGGAAATATTACTGGGAGCAGCGTCCATCCCAGCCAATCACAGGGCTACACAGAGACACACAACCATCCACACTCACATTCACACACCAGCAGCCTGATCCCCAGAGCACGTCTTTGGACTGTGGGAGGAAGCCGGAGAACCGGGGGAGAACATGCAGACTCCACACAGAAAGGCCGCTGGGCGGAGTGGAACCAGGACCTTCTCGCTGTGAGGAGACGTTCTAAGCACCCACAAGATACGTGAGGATAATGAAGATTAGCTGGATTCTCAGGACTTAAGTCACACTCGTTCTTGCATTCGAGTGTAATATTCTCTTTCTCCACTTCTTTGCTTTACACACACACACACACACACACACACACACACACACACACACAGATGTGGGTCTGAAGTATCAGCGGTATTGTATAAAGGACATCGCACAAACCACTGGAGCGACAGACAGAGGACGGACTGAATGACAGGATGTAACCAGAGACGCCTCGACGCACACAGGACACATGTGTTGTGTGGATGTGTGTGTGCGCTCGTGTCGCTTTCTGCTCCGATGCCTTCGTCCTCTCCTCAGGCTTCAGTGCCTCCGAACATCAGTCTACTGAGAGTTCATCATCAGAGCCTGAAGGCCGTGTGGCACTGAGTGAAGGACTGATATGTGTGAGACCTTGTGTGTGTGTGTGTGCGTGTGCGTGCGTGTGTGTGTGTGCGTGTGTGTGTGTGTGTTACCTGGTAACTAGTTACGTAAATTAATTAAGAATTTTTATTCCATATTATTCTTCAACCTACTACTTTTGGGCTTTTTGTTCTATTACATATGGCTCGTCCAATCAACTTCCAGGGATTTGATGACCTTTAATAAACAATTTCCAATGATGACTTGATGCTATCTGGTGGTACCTGAGGCAGGTTTTTGTTGTATTATCCTTTCTCCTGCTCTGTAATTAAATATGATTTTGAACCAACGATGAAGATAATACTCTTTGATAAATCACATAACAAGGAACCTTCAGTATGAATGTACAAATAATGAGGTGTCCAATGAATCACTGGACTCCATTCTTCACGAGGAAGTCTGTGATAACAAAGGGCCTCGTGCAGATGAAAATGCTGGATACAAACCCAGAAGAACAAGAAAGTGTGATTTCCTCAAATAAGCCGATGTACAACTTGCTGTAGATAAGAACCATTATGAGTCCAATGTAAGTGCTGCAGTTAGTTAGTGTGTTAGTGGAGGTAGAGTCCGAAGAGGTGTGTCTTTAGTCTGAAGATGTGAAGGCTCTCTGTGGTCCTGATGTCTTCACAGACCTCCTTCCACCATTTAGTGTTAAAGAGCAGTGAAGAAGAACCCCCCCCCCCACTCACCACGTAGAGCTGCTTCCATAGTAAGGCCCACTCCTGCAGCGTGGACGACACCTCCGTCAAAGTGGGGTCCTCCAGAGGAACCGCAGTCTCATGAGGCCTGGGGGGGGGGGGGGGGGGGGCAGGGGGCTTTTTTACCACGATTTGGGGTCCCACCCACTTTTTTTTTAAGGGGAAAAATTCGCAGCCTTTTAGAAAGGTCCTGTTTCATGGGGAAAAGATTTTTGTGAGGGGGGCCCTTTAGGGTTCACCTAATGGTTCAGTTTGAACTCTATTATAGACCATCATTTACTAAATGAACATCCATGCTGTTTTAGGGAAAATTGAAACTCAGGAGTAATCCAAGAGAGAAGTAGAGTCATTTCCTCATAGACGTCTATGGGAGCAGAAGGAGTCGCCCCCTGCTGGTCACTACAGAGAAGTAGAGTCATTTCCTCATAGACGTCTATGGGAGCAGAGGAGTCGCCCCCTGCTGGTCACTACAGAGAAGTAGAGTCATTTCCTCATAGACGTCTATGGGAGCAGAGGAGTCGCCCCCTGCTGGTCACTACAGGGAAGTAGAGTCATTTCCTCATAGACGTCTATGGGAGCAGAGGAGTCGCCCCCTGCTGGTCACTACAGAGAAGTAGAGTCATTTCCTCATAGACGTCTATGGGAGCAGAGGAGTCGCCCCCTGCTGGTCACTACAGAGAAGTAGAGTCATTTCCTCATAGACGTCTATGGGAGCAGAGGAGTCGCCCCCTGCTGGTCACTACAGAGAAGTAGAGTCATTTCCTCATAGACGTCTATGGGAGCAGAGGAGTCGCCCCTCTATGTCTTGTATGAATACAGCTATAATAAACAGATGAACTGGTTTGAGGTCAGCTCTGTGGTGTTACTTTTAAGTGAACTGTATCTCCATGCAGAGAAACCACAGAAGAAGAACGCCCAGCCTAAAGCCTCCAATGACGTGATCAGCAGCGGCAGAGGCTTCGTCCTGAATGAGCACAAACATTTGTTTCCACTCATTAACTCCTAAAAACACGGACCCGACGGTCATTTCAGCTGATCGTCATCAACGTTAATTCCTGAGACATGACATGACGTTCTAGAGCTTCGAGGAGTCGCTTGTTTAGAAGCTTTTTCTTCAATGGCTGAAGGAACAAAGGGCGGGTTGTGTCTCATTAGCCTCAGGACGGATTAGCATGTTAGCAAAAGGAAAAGGGCTGGCTGCTGTCAGCGGATGTTTAATCGCTCCTTTTCCGCTGGTTTAATTCTGTTTTTTATCACAGACTTCTTAGTGTTGCAGTGACTGGGACATCGTCTACACTGTTATGACTCAAAGGCTGAAAGGCCGAGGAGATTATTAAAAGTAACAAAGTGAAGCACTGTGTCAAATCTCTTTATAAGCACCTCATTAAAAAACAATAATTAGAACTGATTTTCCTATTTCAGCCGATAAGAATGATCATTGAACCTTTAAGTAAAGGCTCTGAATTCACCACCTTCTCTGAAATGTGACCTTTAATCAGGACTCCCTACTAATGAGCAGTGAGAGGAGGGGAATCAAACCGACAACCTCGTGGTTAAAGGATGTCACACTCGATGTTCCCCTCCTAATTATGTGCGCTCGTCCCTTGGAAGAGTTGTTCCTGTGCCGACGGGGGGGTTTGGGGACAGAGGATGTCGCATGCGTACAGACTGTAAAGCCCCCTGAGGATAATTTGTCATTCGTGATTTTGGGCTACACAAAATAAAATGACTTGAATTGAATCATACTCGTTATTGTTTACGACTATGTGCCTGTAAAGGTCAGAGGTCGTTGAACCCACCCTCTGTTGGTGACGACGGCCTTCTTCAAGTGGACGTAACTGGCTGGGAAGACTCCCTGCGGAGAAGGAGACAGAGACAGAGCGGACATTAACGCCAGGATCAAACCGCCGGGTCATCGACAGTCATCTGCAGGAGGCTCATAGACGTCTATGGGAGCAGAGGAGTCGCCCCCTGCTGGTCACTACAGAGAAGTAGAGTCATTTCCTCATAGACGTCTATGTGAGCAGAGGAGTCGCCCCCTGCTGCTCACTACAGAGAAGTAGAGTCATTTCCTAATAAACGTCTATGGGAGCAGAGGAGTCGCCCCCTGCTGGTCACTACAGAGAAGTAGAGTCATTTTCTCATAGACGTCTATGGGAGCAGAGGAGTCGCCCCCTGCTGGTCACTACAGAGAAGTAGAGTCATTTCCTCATAGACGTCTATGGGAGCAGAGGAGTCGCCCCCTGCTGGTCACTACACAGAAGTAGAGTCATTTCCTCATAGACGTCTATGGGAGCAGAGGAGTCGCCCCCTGCTGCTCACTACAGAGAAGTAGAGTCATTTCCTCATAGACGTCTATGGGAGCAGAGGAGTCGCCCCCTGCTGGTCACTACACAGAATGCAGCTTTAACACATGACGCTTTGACTTCTGAACTTAGCTACATAGTCCACAGAAGCTCATCTAAAAGCCACACAGAGGAAGGAGGAGACAACATGAAAGGGAGGAGGAGACGAGTTGTTTGTAGGAGGCACCCGAGCAGTTTACGTCTCCTCCTGATGACGTGAGCGTGTTTAGTCCTGACAGTCAGGAGGGAGGCATTAAAAACCCACACCAGTTAAAGCCGTATTATATTAAAAAACACTTTTAATATTAAAAATCACTTTCAATATGGAGCTGCCAGCACTTATGAGCCTTTATCCTCGGCAGCTTAATGTGTTCTGAGCATCTGGACCCGCTGACCTCCAGCCCTGCTCCATCTACTCCATCTAGGTCAGAGGTCAAAGGTCATCAGGACCATTTGCCTCTTATCATGATGAGCTCGTCCTTTATCGCGTTGCTTCATCTCTTCCATCCATCTTCCTTCTGTCCTAGAGGACCCCCCCCCCCCCCCGACTCTCATCAATTGCAATCCAGCGCTCTGATTGGTTGAGAGGGGGGCACATTATTATTGTTCACATTGACTAGCGTCACGTATCACTGCTCGCTCAAAGTAACAGTTAGATTTTGCCGACCATTAGTTGACTTTTCAGCTTTCAGCTCGGTGGCGATCAACCAACAAATGATCCGTTTGATCCGTTTGGGGCAACGCGAGCAGCCGGACAATCAAGGTGGACGTCATCAGCGATGTGAATGAACGAGATCTTGCAAGGAGACCCGATGCTGTTTACGTGCACGTACGGGGGCTATTTTTCTCTAGACTACTAAAATGAGATACACAACGTTTGGTGGCTACAACTATTTTGTGCTGAAAGGCAACACAAAACATAAACATAGTATTTATTATAACAGCAGTAAGGTGCTAGAAGGTCGCCTAACAACAGCCCCAAACTGTTACGTTATTGGACGATGACGTACAGCCTCTCGTGCCTTGTTGCTTAATTAGACACCGAAGTGCTCGTGGTTCTCTTTGACCACAGGAAGAAAGCGGCGTTTGGATTCCATGTTTCATGAATAGTTTCAGGAGCTCATAGTCGATGTTTGAGGAGCAGATCCACTCATTCTGGAAAAGGTCAACTGTGAATCTAACAGGGACACAGCAGAGAAGAGGACGCGTGTACATAAAGCCTCCTGCTCATTACACAAGCAGACGGAGACTTTTGGGAAAAACGCTTTTGTCAGACAAATGGGAGGAGTCTCCGAGTTGGAGGCGGGGCTTCTCTCTTACCTTGACATGTGGCTTCCTGGTGGAGAAGCCTCTGTACCAGCCTGCAAGAAGACAAACAGGGTCAGCAGCTTTAACCCCACGAGCAAAACCGGCCAATCAAAGAAGTGCCGACACTAAAAACTCCCAACATGCACTGCAAACTGGCCAGTGAGACACTAGACCTTCACCCTGCAGAAACCTGCAGGTTGAAGGTCTAAAACAAAAATGTTCTACTAAAAAACGACACATCACACGCTGCATCAGACTTCTTCTTTTTTTAGAACAGAAACATGATAACAGGTTTATTTCTGTAAGAACTAAACTGTAAAATAAGAGGCTACTTTGTCGTGTTTGGACGTGTGGACAAAGTGGTGGACGCGTTTGAGACACACCGTCAGGAGGCTTCCTAAAGGAGGCGATATGGTAATTAGATAATCACGTCGCATCCTCCAAATCAACAGATCTAATTTCTCAGCAGTTCCACATAATCTGATCTGAATATGGAGACGAGGGTCTAATTGGTCCTCTGCTTCACAACCAATCAGGATCCATTCTTCACCCTCTTTAAGACGGCCGTGTTTATTTCCATAAACGTGCACAGAATGTGTGTTTGTGTACACGAGATGAGATGAGATGAAGAAGCAGCTGTGAGACAAACCGCTCAGGGAAATAACAACACGCGAACGTCCTCCAAGGCAAAGCTGAAATAACGTGTTGTCACGGTGATCCAACGAAGGCGGATCTCAGACCGGGTCTGGTTCATATATTTGGGTAAACATTAATAATAAAAACCATCGCTCTGTTAGTCAGTGCTTCGATGACATCATCCGCCCACTCCGGGTCTCACCTTCACATTTCTCCAGGATCTGGACCGTCTCCCCGACCTCCAGAGCCAGAACCTGAGCCACGGAGCCCCTGAAGGTGCAGATCACTGCGGAGAAGGACAGAAGAAGAAGAAGAAGAAGAAGGTGAGGACATGTAAGGGTTTGGTTTCCGACTATTTATATCCGTTACAGATAATTCTAGATATGTTTCCGTCCTTCAGTCTGGTGAAGCTGAACACCAGTGATCCTCTCTGGGGGTGTAAATTATAAGTTTGTCAGGGGTCAAAGGTCATTGGAAGGAACAGAACGAGGGACACGAGACCATCAAAGAATTTGGATTGACGTAGTATGTCGAGAAGAAAAGAGGAAAGGAGAGAGGAGGGAGAAGGACAGAGAGACATAGGAAAGGACATGAGGGACACAGAGGACGGGAGAAAGGGAGGAGAGACAATCTTCTTCTGAATCACATGGAGGCAGAAACGATCTCTGAAGAAGCACATTGACAATAAGCATGTGTGTGTGTGTGTGTGTGTGTGTGTCTGTGTGTGTGTGTCTGTGTGTGTGTGTCTGTGTGTGTGTGTCTGTGTGTGTGTGTGTGTGTCTGTGTGTGTGTGTCTGTGTGTGTATGTGTCTGTGTGTGTGTGTCTGTGTGTGTGTGTGTCTGTGTGTGTGTGTGTCTGTGTGTGTGTGTGTGTGTCTGTGTGTGTGTGTGTCTGTGTGTGTCATCCTGCCCTGTGAACACATCCCAATGAACGAGGTTTGTCCTTCTAACATCCTCCACGATGCCCACAGGCACAGACTCAAGAGCACTCAGCAGTGCAGCAGATGGATTGTGTGTGTGTGTGTGTGTGTGTAACAGTCTGCATGTGTGTGCGTACGTGAGAGACACAGATCAGCTGATTTGTAAGTCCGTAAGTTTGATGAACAAAGAGAAGGGCAGCTTTTTCTGCAAGTATATATATTCATGAACATGTGTGCGTGAATGTGCAGTGATTGACAGCGTGCGCTTAGGGTTAACTTTAACGCCACATGACGTGAGAGCTCGAGACGCACACACACACCCACGCAATTGAAAAAACACATGAGCAAATACTCACTCATTCTTTCTGCACATCGGCCAAATTTCGGACATCATTCTAAACAAAAACGCAAAAGTTGCGCCCGGTTGACGCGGAAAGCCTCTCCAGCATACTTGTAGTATCAAGAGACGTAACTCGCCTCCTCAAAAACTACTAAAGGAATTCAGCTTCTTCTGTTAAT